GTTTACTTTTATGCTGGTTTTCTGCTAGAGGCTCCAAGTCTTTGTGATTTGCTGTTGCAGGAGACAAGAAATGGAATTAATGTAATTAATAGGATTCTAGGTAGACAGCAGAGGTGAAGGGACCTGAGGAGGTTTGCAAGGAACATCGAGGCAGAAAAAGCATCCGGTAAAACTTGTCTGTTTCAGAAATGTGCGCTGCAGTATGTAATGTGAGCAAAGGTTAGAAGCCCTGGTTTCAGGTATTCCCAGAGAGGTTGTGTGCTAGAACGGCACGGCATGGCAGGCGATCTTTTATCTCGGGGCAGATTTTGCTTCCTATCAGGCTTTTACAGTTTTGTAGGTAAAGGTAGAAGATGGAAGAGGAAGTAATAGGAAAAATGCACTGCTGATAAGGCTAATCTATGCATTTTCTTAGGAGTTTTGAAACATCTTGATCCATTCCCAATGAGTAATTTCATATCGCAGTTCAGGGGCCTTGATTAGCTTGTCTCTTTAGTCTTACATTCTGGTTGATGTAGGTCTTGGCATATTGAATACCTCCTTGGTTCCTACTGTCAGGTATATATGGAAAGCTCAGCTTGAGAGTCAAAGCTTTAGAAACTCTCTCTGGTTTAGAGATTAACTCTAGTCAAGTCTATGTCAGGAGTAGAAATGAAAGTTAACGGAAGGATTAAAACAACTGTGTAACTATATTCAACTGTAACACAGCAAGAACACTTTACTAATGGTGTATTAGAGGATGGGGTTTTTGTCCTGGACTATGTATGTTCCTTACTGTAGTCTGTGCCTCTTCTTTAAATTGAATATGCTTGTGTGTTTCTTCCATTTTCATGTCAAACTTTTAGTATTTATTTAGACAAATACACTATGAAATCTGATAATACGAAAGGGCATCTGACAACTTTCACTTGTTTATTTGACTCAGAGACAAATATTACTTCTTCCACTTGAATGTTAAATGATATGGCGAAGGATATTTAGATATGAAACTTAAGCACTTTCCAAGGGAAAAAAGTACTTTTGTAACAACAAAAACTTGTGAAAAGAGGTTGCTATGAAATAAGTTAAAACATTTTTAATGCAACATGTAAAAATTGATATTGAAATTATTTTTTTAAAAGGTTAATTAGAACTGTTAACAAGTGGAACCCAAGTGCTAAACAGAGCTTAATGTTTTATTTATGTACATTACTTACCAAAGACTTCTTCATTTTGATCAGTGAAAGCATATTTTGGGGTAGTTGACAGACAACCTTTTTTTCTTCACCAAAGCTCATTAATGCAGATTTCATTGTTCTGAAAGGAAGTATGCCTTTATAGAACATCTCATTTAGTGATATTATTATTATTTTCTCTTTATTTCTGGAAATACAAATCAGAAAATTCAAACTTGAACTCATTTAAAAGGAGAAAGAGAATTAATTAAATTTGCATTGGTGAGCACTTTCGTTTGCTTTTTCCCTGGATTGGGAGTGGCTACTGGGGATGATCTTTGTCCTTGCTGTTTTCCATAGTGAAGCAGAGACCAGTTTGACTGAACTGTAAATGCAATATGGGAAGAATTGGGAACTTTGCTTGTTCCCCTTCAGGGGATGTGTGAGGGTTTGTTGCACACACGTACTCGTGTGCGTGACCAGAGAAAAGCAGACCCTACCTGTACTTTGAGGAATCTCTTCGCTCTATTCATTATTGAGTAGCTGGCAAAGGTCATTTCAGTTCTATGTAGTAATCAAAAAAAGAAACAATGTTGGATATTAGGAAGAAAGGTTAAAAAATGCATGCAGATGCTCCCAGATCTTGAGCATTTTATGCAGTTTTGGTGACCTTATATCTAAAAGATACAGTAAAGGCTAGGAAAGCTTTCACAAATAGTCTGACTTAGCTTGGAAGAGAGATGACTCGATGGGTATGTATATCGTATAAAATCATGAGTATCATGAGAAACTGCATAGAATGCGGTTGAGCACTTTGGTAGCACAAGAAAACATCACAAATTTACTTTTACACAAAGCAGAAGTAAACGCTGCCCCCTCTCGTGAGGCAAAAATGTATTAATGTGTTTAACAAGAAAGCAATTCAACAGATTTACATAGAAGCACTGACTGGTAATAAAATATAGTACAGACTCTGGCTTGAAAGTCTGAGAAAGTATCCTGGGACCCCTCATGCTATTCGCTCTTTGTTCTTGCACATTTTTTTCTTAAGAATGTATTGTAGGTTGCTGTCAGAGAAGGTGATTGAGAGGCTTTGGGTCCTGCCCATTGTGATTTTGTGATATTATTGTCAGTAGTATGGTAGGTTATGGAAGTGGTCTTAGGTAGGTTGAAGGTGTAATGTTGGACAGGATTCAGAGCGTGTGTGAGTGGAGGCTGTAAAACGTAGGACGTGGGCTAATCCTGGAGACTGAAGGGTTTCAGTAGTATAATTTACAACACTTCATCTAACAGCAAGTTTTTTGCTTTAGCAAAAAGTATTGCATTTTAATGTAACATACCTTGTTCTTTTTGTGATACTACACGCCCAGGAAGGCGATGACTGAAGAGCAGTATATATGTCTATTGAAATAAGGAGCCAGCTGCAGGCTGTGTCAGCATATAGTGTATTGGCATACAGCCTTCAGTACCTTGCTCATGCCAGGAAACACAACTTCAGAAGGGCTCAAGACACGACTTTGAATTTACCATCTGAAGTGTGCCTTCTGTACACTATTTGAAGAGAAGTGGGTGGAGATTAATTTAAGCCTCTTGCTTTAATTTACTGCAACCTCAGTGCAGAGCCTCCCAGTAATACTGACACCCACAAGTCAGATTGTTTCAGAATAAAGGTTACAGAAGTATCAAAATACTTGATAGAAGGTTTGAGATGATGTGGAGGTCATTCCTTTAACAAGTATAAGGTTTTCTGATCAGCAGTGCCTAATTTATGCTAACTGTGCAAACATGATGTTTGCAAGACTTGGACATCAGTCCAAAATGTCATGTCTAGAAGTTGCACTAGTCTGTCTATGCGCACGGTAGATACTGCTCCTTAATGAACTGCCCTGGTCACTGATACTAACAATGATATCAAAGTAGCAGGTTGGGAGACCTGAATCTTCTGCAAAATGTTTTCGAAATTGATGGTTGGAGTTTTGCAAAGAGTTTCACCTTGATTTTGATTGTGCTGAAATATAGGAAGATGTCTTGCAGCAACACAAGCTTTGCAAACTGTTGATGTGCTTTCCTTTTCCATTTCTTTTTCCAGAGGTACTGGGAACCTTTTTTGTGAAGTGGAACTTGGGTATTGTACTTCTGTGGTGGTTTTATTTTTGTTGTGTACTCAGACCTAGTTCCTGCTTCAAAACTAATTCTCTGGTGTTCATTTATTTAAATACCCTTAAATCCAGAGAACAGTTCTGTGTGGGTTTTGCTCTGTTTAGGTCCATTTTTCACATCGCTGTGAATCGTTCTCAAGGTTCATTAAATCAACTTCTTAAATTATGACTTCTGTCAATAGTTTGACATGGCTTAATTGCTATACAGTTTGTTCTGAAAAGCGTATTTATTCAGAAGGTAATTAATCTTGTTTAAATATAGTCAACTGCATTGACTTTGTCCCTGTTTTGTCTTCTACTTACTACTCAAACATTTGGTAGCAGCCTCAGAAGGTCACATCTAAAGGAGTTCTGTACCTGTGTTGAGTTCAGCATGGTGGGAAGACTCTTCTGTCTGCAGTAGATGTTCCAGCATGTCCCTATACACACTGAAAAATTACTCTTTAATATAAAAACAGGTCTTGATAAGTTAGCGCTTTTGTTGTTTGCAATGTGATGCTTACTAGCTTGTGGTACGGGGTGGCATGCTCAGAAGGTTCCCGGGTCAGTATTGTGTATGGCCATGTCCACTCTGGTTTTGCCTCATCTTGGCTGGTAGTTTGTAGGGGTTGTGAGGCTGCTTGTTGTTACTCTACCTCCAGAAATGTGATCATGGCTCACAGCTTAGGTGCAAAAATGTTTCCCTCTTTCCAAATTCCCCTACACAACAATAACATCTAGTTCCAGAATGAAAAAATGATACGAAAATGAGGGGGGTTTATTAAAGGGAATGACCCAGAGGATAAAAAAGTGGTGATTGTTTTACTATTCCCTGTGCATGTTTATTTTGAGCCTCTATCAAAACCATCTTAAAAACTTAAAAAAAAAAAAAACATGCTTAAAGAACCATCTTAAAAACTTAAAAAAAAAAAAAAATCAACATGCTTAAAGTATGGCATAACAAGTGCAGCAAAAACCAAAACTGATCAAAGAATGGAACCATATCCAAACGAGGAAAATAAACTCAAATATAAAGGCATAATAAGGCATGCCTAACGGGATCCTGAGAAACAGCTGATGGCATCAAAACAATAATAAAACTTTTCAGACATTTCAGGAGCAGTCAACCTATCTGTTTGCTTCTGGTTAGGTAAGATGATTCAAGGAAAAAGAGGCCATAGCAGAGAAACTCTTTTTTTTGTTGTTGGTATTTTCTGTGGAGGAGTTAATGGAATACTGGATGTATTACTATCGTGAGTCTCTTGAGAGGGGAGTCTGGCTGTATTGGAGCAGGTGAGGAATGATGTGGGCACATAGAGGAGATGAGGCATGTGGAATGGCCAAGCCTACCTGTGGCCTAGAGTCTTGTTATTATTTTAGCAGCAGGTTTTAAAATTGCTATCAAGTGTGGAATCCCTTTCATCAGCTGCATGCAGTTTCTCCACTCTTCCCTTTATTCTGATTCTGCTTGTTTGTATTGCCCTTTTGTAAACTAAATCTGGGAAGTGATCATTTAAAAGCAAAAATGCCCTTTTCGGGGACCTTTTTCTTTTAATTAGATTACTTCAGTTTTTGTTTTGATCAGAGATCAAATAGCTTTTGGCACTTGCACTATAGTTGCTCAATTTCTCCTTCTGTTCTTCTCTCTAGTCATACTTTGTCATGTTTATGCTGCTTGTATTGATGGGGTTTTGTTTGTTTTTTATAGTGACTACAGTTCCTGTCTCACCTCTTTGATGGAAGAGGACTATGACCCAGAAGTGAACTCTCCACTGTAGAACAAGAAACTCTTGTGGAATAATTTGTGTCCCTTTAAAAGCAGCACCCAGTCTACAAAAAATAGAGTAGAAGAGATTATTTTTGGACCTGGCATTTTTTTGTTCATGTGACCTATGTTTCAGCATGTAAATGGTGAAAAACGGGGAGATAAACATTTGTGCCTGCTTTTGAGCTTTATATCAAGTAGTGCTTAGCTCTGTGGAGCATTAACCAAGTTACGTGAAGACCAGAGTATATCCTAACATTCATTTTTTAAAATACTATACCTTTTTTTAGCAGATGTATGTGATAAAAATGAAGTTTATATTTTAAGAGCACTTGGGCAGATGCTTCTTGTTTAGATCTCAGCATTTAGGGCAAACGTTTTTATGTAACATTGTCCTTTTTCCAGAGTGTTCAGGTTGATCTGCTGCAGATCATGAATTATCCAGCAGACTTGAGTGTATCTGTTCAGTATTAACCATGGTGTTGCTCTGAATGTTGTCATGCAGACTTGACAAACCTTTTTGTAATGTAAAGGCTGACTTCTGTACTACCACGACCAGAGGAAATTTAATGAGGTGAACGTGGTCGTGGCTTTTTTAAAAAAATATAAATTACCTTCTTAGGTATTTTTTTTTTGTAGTGAGAGTGCAAAGAGAGGTTAAAATGAGCAGCTGAGGGGGTGAGGGCACAGTTGGCACGAAGTGCGGCCTCTTGTGCTCCGCTTTGAGACGCACTATTGCCTCAAGGCTGGCCTTACAGCATACTGGAGAAGGAAGGAACCCGAAGGTCAGTGAAGCACAGAAACTGAGGACATTGGACTGCAGAGGCCAAACTCAGGGTAAGTGATCATATGTACCTTTTCTTTGCTTGTATAGTGTTGGCTTATTCATAGATAAATTAAAGTTGAAAAATGAAGCAAAATGGTAAACTGGAAAACCTTCCACAAAAAGGCAGAGTTCAGTTACACAGAGCAATAATGGAATTTTCATCGTTTTGAGCAGTGGAAATGTTGGAAAGAACAATTCAGTTTCAGATTCTTCAGTGAGACACCTCAGCTGGTCTTCAGTTGAACTTCCATTGAGATCCTTCAACCAGCTTGTGTTCTGTTCCTAACCATTTGGTTTCTTAGCTATGAAAGCAGTTTCAGCATAGGATATTCCCTGGTGTATAGAAGTTGGTGGATCTGGATACAATTTTAAGTTGGGGGTGCAGGAGCTGGCATATGGTTGTCTTTCAGGTCTCTGATCTGCTCTCAATGTCTCTAACATCATCATCGGTTTGGTCATATTTGATTTACAGCCTCTGGAATAAAACATGCAGTAATCACCCCCTTGTAAAGTGAGACAATGAACAATGAAGGAATGTACCCCAAATTCTGTAATGTCTTGACTTTATACATCTGTGCATTGTATGGCTTTTGTATGCTGTTTGTTCTGTTTTCCACCTCCACGCCCATCCTATCATGAATTTCATGGGTGTGTTAATTGTAAACAGGAAGTAAATGGGAATGTCTAAGTTCCTACCTGTTTTGGTCAGAGGAACAAAGTCAGCAGGAAAAAAAAAAGCTTAAGTGTAATATGAAAAACTACAGCACTTTTCCCCCTATTCATATAGGCCAAGTTTTGGGAAATAAATTGTATTATTATTTCAGTTTGGAAAAGATGACAGTCAGGGAATGTTCTTTTCATTTACAGATCCTGGCCATGAGGTTTGATGCCTCATTTTATTGAAGGGAGACACTGGACCTAAATGGCGCAGCATGACTTTGTTCCTGCCTGGCTTAACTTCTCAACGCCACAGTCAACCAAGGTAACATTAATACAGATCACCTCCTTTTACAGCTATGGCAATAATAAAAAGCAAAAAATTGCCCCAATGTTTTGTTGAACTTAAAATGTTTAATTTTAATTTCTTTTGTGTTTTTAAAGAAGGCTTTTGGAAACTTACTAAGGTGAAAATCATTTTTGTTGTCTTTGTTTCAACAAATGTATCCCTTTTATTTCAGAGGCGGAACAATCTTTGCGTTCAGACATGGAAGTAGTTCAGTGTCTTTGCGTTGAGACTTGAGTGGGATCCCAAGTAGAAGATCATTAAAGAAATGGCCCTAAATCTGTGGGAGTCAAGACCTGAGCTGCCACTTATTTACAATTCAGAATATAATTTGGGTTTGATTTATGAAAATAATCTGACCCTTGCTGAGTAGTAGATTGATGATAAGCCCTTGGGCTCTACCTCCAAACTCAGAAATACTCATTATTTTTTTTGCAACCTTGAAATGAGGGCAGTTTACCTGTCACATTCTTTCTAAAACTGGTTCCGGAAGCAGCTTAGGTTGACCCAGGAAGTCTGGTTTAGGACTTTAACAATTTGTGTTAGTTGTGCATGGCGTTGGAGAAAAACATTTTAATAGCAAACCAGATCATGATGGACAACATTGATGAACAAGAAAGAATACAGCTTTCACCTTCATGCTTAAATACGAGGACACAAAAGTAATTTCAGGATATTTGATCCAAACCTCTGAATTTTCTATAAATGAGGGAAAGTGAAGAGTAAAAGATTCTTTGGAATCTTAATGCTAGAAGCATTAATGTTTTCTACAGCATCATAGTAGTTTCAGTCCAAAAGTGCTTTAACTTACTTGAGTATCTCTGAATTTTAGTCAGACTGATTGGATCCTCCATTGCTGTCTGCTCTTCTGTCTTAAGAGGGAGTGAATGAATGAGCACCTGTGTATCATAAAATTTCTTAAATGAATTTTGCAGAAGGTATTTGTTTGCAAAGACCGCTGGTAAGATTAGTGTGTTAGGTTCTCTCTGATTCTGTGTAAGACACGCGGATTTGTGTGCCATTCTGATCAGGTTCACGTGATTGTTGATGTTGGCTGAGCAATGCAGATACGAATGCTGTATTGAAAACTAGTACAGGAATGTGGGGTTTGGGGTTTTTTTCAATTAACAAAATGTCACTGTTGGACTGACAGGCTCCTGGAGTGCCCTAATGAATGCTTCATTACATCACATTTTACTTTCTGCAGTCCCCTGCAGCCACCTTTGAGAAACATGGAGAGCATCTTTCACGGGGAGAGAGCCGCTTTGGGGTGAGCCGTAGGAGACACAACTCTTCTGATGGATTTTTCAATAATGGGCCCCTCCGAACTGCGGGAGGTGAGTAGGAAGGATCAGAATGCATCCTGAGAGCAAATATTTTGGAATATTCTACAGAATGAAGAATTCTGCAGAATATAAACAACATTTTCCAAAACTGGACCTTTTCAAAACATCCTGTAAGAAACTTGTGCTATTCTCTTCTCCCATGCCATGTGCTCAGGCCTTAAGGGGGTTCTGTGGTAGCTGTATGTGCATTGTGTAGCTTGGTTTGTTTTCTGATATAATCACACAGTAGCTTAATAAGTTTGGCTTTGTAGTTACTTAGTGAACACTGACTTAACAACAAGAAAAACAGGCTGATATTTCCAGTATTCTGCACGCTGTGTTGACTTTTTTATTTGCATACTTATCTCCTTTTGTTTAGACTGCTGGCATCAGCCGTCACTTCTCCGCCATGATTCTGTAGATTCTGGTGTTTCTAAAGGAGCTCATGTTGGGCTTTCTGGCAGTCAGCCTGGCTGGCATGGTCCCTCACGGGGCCATGATGGTGTGAACCAGCGTGGTGGAGGAGGAACTGGAGTTCATCGCCACTGGAATGGCAACTTCCATTCTCGGAAAAGTTCTGCCTTTCAAGAAAAGCTGCCTGTTGAATCCAGGGAAGAGAAGAAGGAAGATAAAGAGCAGTTGCAGTTTGAGGAAGAAGACTTTGTAAGTGTGTAGCTTCTCACTAGAAGTGGCAGCTGTGAGAATTGGCTTTTCAGATCTCATTTTTATTAGCATTGATAGGCAGCAAGGATCTAGAGTTGCATTCCATTCCATGTCTGAGATCACAACAGATTTAACAAAATAATGCCAGTGCTGACAGGATGCTAATTGGTACCCAGAGTCCTCGGGATTTGATGACCTGTTGGATTATGGGTTTTAGCACATTACTATATTTTGCCAAATGGTTATTGTGAACTGAAGACAGCATTCTAACACACAAGCCAGATCTTCAGCAAAACCCATAAGGTGACACTTTGGTCTGCCACAGGACGAGAAGTTGTATTGACTTTGTGGCTTTGCTTACAAAGCCGTTATTTGCTCCTAAGTACATCTGTTTGGCTATCTTCAGTCTGCCTGCTGTTCCTGTTTCCTGCATTCTGGTACATGTTGGTGTTTGTGATAACCTTCCCAAGCTTGTTCATGACATGTGCTCAGAGCTTTGCAACCATCTGTCTTGAATCTTCTGGAATAGTATTTTGTTACCAGAGATGTTTTCCTATCTCTCTGTTAATCTGTGGATCGGGATTGCTTGACCCATTTCTTCCATCAGTATCTCCAATTCATCAACTTTCTTCTTATCCAGCATTCTGATTCATGTGGTATTATCAGTATGATAGTCTCTTACATCCTGGCTCTATTTTTACTGGAATATCTTTAGTTTTCCAAACTTTACCAAATAGTACTTGGATTTATGGCTTTCATCCTTACCGTGTGCATTCCTTAATGCTAATGCTTTGAGATATACACACCTCTTCTGCTTTCTCTTTCCAATTTAATTTTTTTTTTCTCCTGTCCCCTGATGATTTTATTGTTACCAGACCACGTATTTTGCTTTTTGCATCTTGTTTCTTGCTTTCTCTAGACTCTTCTTGACCAGTGTAATGAGGTCAATATCATCTGTAAGGTTCTGGTAACTCAGTCCCTTCACCTAATGCAATTCTTCTGACTTCATCTTCAATGCTAAAGCCATTGCTGCCTCCAGTAATGAGAGTTTCTGGTGATAGTGTGCACGGTTGTGTGTATCATCATCTTGAGCTTTTTGCTCTCTTATTCAGCTTTTCGCTCTGGAAGGCTGTTTACAGCTGAAATTGTCATGGCAGTTTGATGGCACTGCTTCTATTCAGGAAGCTAGGAGTTGGAGTGAAATATATGAATGTCGCACAGCTGCTTCAGGCCAAAATCTAGAGTCTACACTTAAATTGCCACAGGAGCCAGTTTGATTTAAGCTGCTGGGTTTTTTCAGTGAAGTGCCTGGGGAGTGATTGCATGCTCTTGTTCAACTGCTTCTGCTGGGAGTGGTACCCTGCATCACAGGGTGGTTAACGCCTGGAGAGCAGTGATAAAGCTTATGTGTAGACTTCTGTTAATCTGATTTCTCAAGAATACTGTAATTCAGGATTTCTATAAGCCTGTTCTTTAGACGGTCAAAAGCCTGTTGAAATGTAGAAAGTTATTGTAATGGTTGTGGCTGTGTGTTGTTGTAATCTGTCTTGGTCTAAATCTTTCTTCCATGTACTACTTCATTCTCTTCTTCAGTGCCTTGATGAGTGCCTTTCCCCAACTACATGGCTGTTTCTTCTGTAATTACTTCCCCCGATTTTTTTTAAGATGATAATACCACACGCTGTCTAGCAGCAAGCTTTGCTAAATAACTCCTGTATATTGTCTTTGCCGTAGTGGTGAAACTAATGTATACTGTGGTTAAGTATGTAGCTGTTAGGCCTGTGTGACCGACGACGGCAACACTTTTCCTGAAAGGTCTGCAAGACGGTCTGTTAGTCTAAGTTCTCCTGTGGTGTGAGCACCCCTGCTATAAAACTGACCCGTAACTAAAAAATGAAGCACTGAAACAGAGGAATTTCTAGGGTCTGAGGCAGGAATTTATGCTATGCTGTGACATTTTTTCCTAACTCTTATAGAACAGGAATGCCTACTACTTCAGAAGCTCATTATTAGAGACTTATGCTGTCGCCATAGTAACTAACGTATGAAGAATTCATTGAAAAGAGGAAAAAGATGGCTTTATTTTGAACTGAAGTTATTTGGGACGGGGGAAGAGCAATAGCTAATCAGGAACGCTTGTCATTAAATGCTTAGATTTTCTGTACTCTGCTTTGAGCTTGGACACATCCTTAGTTATTCCACTAAGTTGAATTCTGATACTGAATCAAAGGTAAGTCTACAGAGAGCACTGAGTCTGCATGCAGTATTGTCCTGAAAAAGTGGACTCTGAAGCTTAACATAAATTTACATGTAGCTTGTCAGTAAATGTATATATAGTCATTATTCCTTTACATTAGGAGCCTAGTATTGCTTTTGGGTATCTTTTTATTGGTTAATGCATAATTATTGTATAAAAATATTTGGGAAATTAGACTAGATTCTTCATATACTGATGATGTAGATTCTGTTTTATATTTTGAGCTGCTGATTAAATACCTGAATCTTTTATGTGTGTATTGGTTGGTGGAATCTACTTAATCGTATAGTAGAAGACTAAAGGGCCTATCCTGAACCTTCTGATAGTTCTGTTGGAAATACAGCAGAAGCCAAGGAGAATAGAAACTTGATTTTTAGATGTCTTGTGACAAAGCACTCTCTTCTAATTCAGGTGCTGTTCAGAGAAATCTACCTGTACTCTGGGTTGCTAGAAGCATAATGTTATGTTAATACTGAATTTTTTTTTTTTATATGCGATACAATGATACACTAATTTGCATTGTCTTTTTGCAGCCATCTTTGAATCCAGAAGCTGGAAGACACAACAACCAGAACAAACCTTTAGGAACACCTTCTGGAGTATGGGGTAGGTAAAGGTGTTTACACCGCTGTACAGAATGCTGATGCTGAAGCAGAAAGCTGTAACCAATGTTTAAATGCTAGTTTTGTCACTCAGAAAGATTTTAAAGACTTAAGTGAAGCAGACAGTTTGCAGCTTTCTCTCCTTTGTTGTTTTCCTCCCCCAGTCTTCACTAATCTGTTGGCCTTTTTGTCTACTTGAAACTGTGCTTGTCTTGTCTTAAAAAAACTGCTGGTGGCAGTAATGTCACTGTTCTGCATTTGCTTCCTGTCTTACTGCAGTTACAATTTCATGCAGACATCACTTGAAGGGCAGAGCATATTTGAGTGAACTAGGCATTAGTTCCTGACTTGCGATCTTCATATTAGAAATACAGCAAAACTGTCATAATTCTGTGGTTTGGATTTATTTGATTTTTTTTTTTTAAACTCAGAACAGGCTTGCTCTTAATTCTGATGTGGTATGTGAATCTGTGCCTTTTAAAAAAAAATAAATAAATAAAATTTGAGTGAAACAAGGTACCAGTTCTAGCAACTAAATGCAGGTTTGTTAATCTCTAGTTAGAATGCAGCTAGATCAGTTGGGTTAGATACTATAAATAGTACAAATACAAAAAAAAACCCTCAAAACCACTTCTTGCTATAGTACCAGATTGTATTCTTTTTTTCATGTTTGTCAGGTAGCTATTGTTCTGCTCAAAAAATAATGACAATTAGCATTTATGGGGCTTTTACCTGTTTATACTATTACTGTTTTTAAATTGTTCTGCTCCTGCAAATGTGTTGATTTGGCCTAAGAAATATTAATTGTGCTTGTTCGTAAAAGCACTGTGTCTTTTGAGGTATAAGTTATGCAAAGTATTTCTGCTGTGCTAGTGAATTAACAAAGCTGATCCATGGTTGCTCAAAAAAATGCTAATATCTGTTCCGATTCCTGTAGTATGGTGGAAGGCTGTTAGCTGATGTCACCCATAGGTTTTTCCCTTCAATGTCAAGGGAGCTGTTGTGGTTAAATGAAAAAAGATTGGACTTTGACATCCTTATCCAGTATCTTTGCTGAAAGCTGAAATGAAAGAACAGCTGATAGCAGTCTCAAAATCAGATGTGTAGCGTCTAAGATTGAGAGAGGAGAAACTGGATCAGTATACTGAAGCTGTTCTGAAATACAGTTGTTCAGTTTCATAAACTTTCTCGTTTTATTTTAACAGAAAACCCCCCTAGTGCCAAGCAACCTACCAAGATGCTGGTCATCAAAAAGGTTTCAAAAGAGGATCCTGCCGCCGCCTTCTCAGCTGCATTTACATCACCTGTTTCTCACCTGGCAAATGGCAACAAAGCCACCACTATTGTCCCAAGTGTCTACAAAAATCTGGTTCCTAAACCCGCAGCTCCTCCTTCCAAGGTACAAGGGTTTCCAACCAAGTTAGCGAACTGCAGATCAAGGGAGAACTCTCTCCCTTGACAAGGGAATCAACCCCCTAACAAGTAGCAGGAGTTGGAGTCCAGTAGGTCCTGAGGTAGTGGCCTTTACAGTAGAGGTCTGTTTACCACCAAAATTGTTGTTCCCTGTTAAAATGCCATTTGGTCTTGTCCATATAGAGAACTAACCTCTCTTCTGAAGAAATTAATGTCTGTTTGAATGGGTGTGTTCTCATGCATTAGACAAATCCTTATCTTAATTAGACAAAACAAGCAATTCTAGAGAAGTGGAATGTGTGCTACGATGTGCTTGAATTGTTCACGTGACTACCTTGAAAAATCTTTATTGGGTTACAATACTTTTATGTGTTTAAAACATAATTGAGGCTAAGATCAGATTAGATTGTAACATCCTCAATTTAGCTCTAATTTAGTTGAGCCTTAAAGACATCCTGGAAAAGTAATGGGGTTTGTGCTGTAATTTTTACTGAAAGAAATATAGGAGTGTTGAAAAAACAAGTAGTTTTTTTGTTTCTTAGTTCTAGGCTTTATCTTGCCCATTTTTCCAGAGAATTTACATGTACAGATGCCCTAGAAACTTTGTAGGATTGATAGTGAAAGTATTTAAGAAGCTAAAGAAAATTATTAGCTAGGTCGTTCTTTAAAAAGGTGTCCAAATACTTTGAGTTCTAAAATTTATTAATTACTAACGCTGGCTGTGACATTCGAACAAAATCTTCCTTATGATTAATTAGTCTTATACACTTCAAAGATAAAAGCAAAATAGGAAAGATTAACAGCTTTTTTGTAAGAAATCAAGTTTAGAGCTTCTTTCTCTTTTGTAAGTTTCTCTTAATTCAGGCCAAATTCTGCCAACTACAGGAAAAATCCTACTGGTTAAAATGATTATCAAATTGTCTGCTGGTGTCATCAACAGCGCTTTTGTTAATGAATGGTGACCATTAGCAAAGCTAAAAGGTGGGAGATCAGCATATCCTTAGGCAGAAAAACTGTGTGCATGATGCCTTTTTTTTAAAGGTACAGACATAAAGCAGCTATGGTAGGATGCATTAGTCTGAAGACTCTAGAAAGTTGTACAGAAATTGCAGTGCATAAAGTAGTAGAGGGGTCAAAACATTCCTTTTGACAAAGCAGTACTGGAAAGCTGTCACAGACAAACTGAATGGAAAATGTTTTTGTTACGGTGTACCAAGTAGTACTGAAAGGCGGCAGTGAAACAAGTGCATTCTTTCTTGGCTAATTGAGATGGCTAATTGTTCACAGTCAAGCAAGCCATGAAGGTCATAATCTGCAAACGATTCCTTTTGATATTCATCTCTAGTTGTTGTGCTTGAATCTAGTGGCCTCCCTAAGAAAGCAATAGGGGTCTGTCTTTGAATTTGTCTAAGCTGCCCCTTTGTGGACGCTGGGAGAACAACAATCAGCAGCCAAGAGCTGGGTATCTAAACAGTGCAACCACCGGATCTGCGGAGAGAAACTTTTTGTCATAGTAATTCTACACCCTAATTTTAGTACCAAGCAATATTGCGCAGATCGGGATATTTTCTGGGTTTGAAGGGCATGCTTGGAATGTGTGCTGTGAATGCCAAATGATCCATTCGGTAATGTGGACTGCTCTTTCTTTTAAGTTGGAGTGGAAGAGTAATGCTGATGGCCTCCCCTGCTGATTTTATTTATGTAAAAATGAATAAAATAACCCAATGGAGAGTGAGAACATACTGAAATAATGGCTTCTGCTCTCGTTGCTTGCAGAATGCAAGATCTGTTGCATCTCAGATTTAACTGAATCCCACTTGTGCATGAGTTATTTTGCTAATGACTTGAAGTTGGCTTCAGAAGTCTAATGGGTGAAAGGAACCAGTATGTTTTAATGCTCTGACAGGTGTATTTCTCATGCTACTTGATACAAGTTTCTGTAGGATCTGTTGTTAGGATCCTTTGTGTAAAGACTGTCACTTCACAGTTTGTCCTTGGTTGATAAGAGGGGCTCAAGAATAACATTCCAAGTTACAAAAACTTATCTTGAAGTCTTTGCTTTTCAGCCAAATCGCCAGTGTGTTTGAAGGGATACTGCAGAGAGTATCCAGAGCAAAACAGCAAGTGCTCATGCACTTTAATGAACTGGCTGCTTTTTCTTCTTTTTTTCTTTTTTTTGTTGCTAAATCAGTGCAATGATGGACACTTTCAGAGCCCTAGGAAATAAATAATTTGCATTCTTAGCCTGGACAGAAATATTCCTTGATGTGCTTCTTCCTTGCACAGGGGAAGTTCCTGTCAAGTGATGCAAACTCTTTCTTTGTGGCATACAGTGTTCCCATATGAAATGTGAATTTAATTGGGATTTTTTACTTCCCGTCTGTGGGTAGCTGTAAGATGCATTGCATTACTCGGTGGTGATTCCAATTAATGAAGAGCAATGCTGAATTTTCTCTTTGAGCTCTAACGGTGTTTTACTGGCGGGTGGTGCCCATGAAGCAGATTTTGTGTGGTTTGGGGAAAACAGAAGAAGACAGGGAAAAATAATGGGTGTCGAGGTAAACTTGAGACTGTTCTTGGAGAGGGAGGAAGAATATCCATACAGCAGCCAACATAATGTTTGTTTATTTGTTTTACTACTTGCAAGCAACCCCTTCTTATGCCTTACCATTTACTGTCCAGTATCTTGTGTTCTCTTCAATATAGCCAAGTCCATGGAAAGCCAACAGAAGTGAACATAAACCAGGCTCGCTTTCCTCCAGCCGTGACTCTGCCTTTACCAGTCCAGTGTCTGTAACCAAACCAGCGGTACTGGCAAGTGGCTCAGTCCTCACCTCTCCCAAAGAGGTAAGAGGTTGGGTTTGGGGATAAGGTGGGAACTTTTATCACTATCACCTACTGTAGCTTAAACATGGTGAGGTCCTCTCTGTATGTGGTATACCTACCTTTGCACTCTTGAAGAATGACTCACTTGTACATTCTTGGCACGTTCTGCCACATCTCTGATACGCTAAAAGAAATAATGTGGTTTAACTGGATGTAAAGCCATTGGTGTTTGTCCGAATGTATTAGAATTTCTCTCCAATATAAAAAAAAAAGTAGTAATGCCTTAAATAGTGTTGCATAACTAGACATGCATAGACTTGGTGTTATCAGAGTGCAGATACCAAGAACTGATGGGAACAGATAGGTAAACTGATTCCTATGCTATTCTTTAATATGGGAAAAGAAGGGGAAGGAGAGTGATCTGCCTCATTTCCTTTCTGTAGGAGAGCAACAGCACAAGCAATGAGCTCTGAGAGCGTTGAGGGGGTTTAATGTGTGTACGTGTATCTTCAGCTACGGTGTCTGTTTTTAATTTTGGTGTTGGAAGGAAGTGAGGTGGAAACTGACTGACCTCTGCTTTTGGTCTGAAGTATGGAGAGAACCTTGCATATTGTTAACATTTCAGCAGTAACTGTGAAAAAACACATTTTGGCCAACATTTCTATGCATCACTTGATAGCTTATACACAAAATGCTGGTTTGGAGCTTGAAATTCCCCAAAGCTTAATAGAAAAGTGACACTGAATAACTTTTCTGCTCCTGGGAATCAAAATTCAAGAGGTTTGAGATCATACGTAAAAAGAACAAAAATTAAACAGACCGTGATAAGTGACCTACTCACATAATTTGAAATGAGTCTGCGTTTCAAGTGTAACAGTGGGGTTTTTTCTAGTTGTACATTTGTCTTTTTCCTTTACAGATCTTACTTCTAAAATAAGACTGTCATCTTTATGATTCTCTGCTTTTCAGGCTTTACTTTGCAACAGCCTGTACTTTTCTGCTTTAGCCACTGCTGTGAGTGTAAAAGCAGTCATTAAAAGCAATAGTTAACAAGCATGCACCTGCCACTTTGACAAATAGATCTTACACTGTATCCCTTTCCCTTACCTTGCCTTGTCTGTCCTCAGACCGAGTCCTTTGTGCTACTGACAGCCTTCCTTTTTGTGTAATGCACAGCACAGTATGGACACCTTTGCAGCATAAATATGTAAACTTAAATAGGCTTTCACCTCCAGGTAGATACCGAGAAGGGCATTCACTTTATATCATACAGTAGTAACGCAAGTAGTCTCCATTATTTTATTACACACACGCGCCCCGCCCCCCGCAAGAAGGTCTTGGCTGAAACTTTTAGTCAGCAAAGATGTCAGGTGCTAATCTGACAGCAGGAGCAGGCAGCTGGGTTTTCCCCAGAACAAGCAGTACTTCCTTTAATACTTCTTTTATTACCACTGTCAATCAGTGGTAATAAAAAGGGCTAAAAAACTAAACAAAAAGGGCTTAAAAATTCCTTCCAACTAAAATTCAACACTTGTATTACATTTTTCTTTGAATCTGTTGGAGACATGCAGTATGGAAACACAGGACCATGGCCAGCAAATACTATTGTAATCCTAGCTCCCTAGGCCTACTACCTACAAGTAATCTCTGCCTTTTTATTTCTGAAATGGGGATAATGCCCCTCCTTCAGAAGTGTTGAAAATAGCACCTTTATTCATAAGAGACCACAGTGTGTTGAAAACTAAAAGGGTGCCAACTAGCACTGACACCATGTCCTCACAAGCCAGTCTAAGGTAACCAAATTAAGATACAGTCTGAATTCTTAAAATGATACAGGATGACTTTTCTGTTAGAGTAGCTACCCCTGTTAAACAGACTGATATCTGAACAAATCTGAGATTATGCATAGTGATCTCATAAAAAAAAAAAAAAAAAATCTGAGAGATGCCTTGATGTTTCAGTCAAAGGGCTAAACCTACCTTTAGAAAAGGCATCAAAAATGACTACTTGTACCCCTTTACGTAACATTCTCTTTTAGTATTATAAAGCCTTCTACAGAAAGTTATGAATAAAATCAGAATTGAGGTGAAATTCAATTCCCTTTCAGGACTCTTGTTTCTAAACCTTAGCTTTAACTGTCTTCACTTAATGTGTAGAAATTAAATTTTAGTACCTCAGCAGTTCTATACAGTGCCATTAAAATGGCTGCTTCTAGCAAAGAGCTCAAGTGCTTTAGTAGAGTATTCCAAATTACCGAAGACATCTAATTTTTAGTCTCCTTTGTTCATTGTTACCTTCTGGCACTGCAGTCAAACTAATTACTATGTTGAGAGCTTTAATTTCAGTACTATGCTAGCTTTTTATCCTAATATTCACAGTCACTTGTTACGTCTGTTACAATTGCTGATTTGTTCCTTACTGTGTTGAATTAGGCAAAATCCAAAAAGGCCACCTGAGAAATGTTTACCATAAGACATTACTTTCAGCATGCACTTCCCTGAAAGGCATTATTACACACCAGTGTTTCATGTGCAGCCGGCATTAGAAATACAAGCAGAAGTTGCTGCCTTGTTTTTGTTTTGCTAAATATTTTAGTTCCCTTGATCTTCGCTCGGAGCACTGTGAGTATGATAAAAACACTTTGCTAAAGATACTCATTTTGAAGAGCCTGAATTTGCAACCTTCCCACCCTAGTTTAAAAAAAAGGCTGGGGGGAGTGGGAAAAACACTACAGGCTTCAGGACATTTTACTCTGTTTTAATATTGAGGAAAAAAAATCAAAGCAAGTAAGTGAAGGAAAATAATAGTTTTGCATGCAAGATTCTAGCGTCAGGTATCCATATTAATGACTAAATTCTTCCTTGTCTTAGAGTAGCCAGACATGAACTCTGTATATGAGCAGAAGGTTAAGATATTGGGAACTTCCACATAACATGTTTTTAGATTTCTTTTGCGTGTCCAGTCAAAATGACAGAACAGATTAAATTGAAAGCTCATCTTGGTTAGCAGTACTATCATTGCAGCGTCATGGCTGGGGCACTGCTAACGTGCAAACTGTTGTGCCTCATGCCTGGTTCACAGATTCAAGATAATTAAGAAGGCTTAAACACTGTGGAAGAGCATGGGAGGTTACCTTGAGTTCATGAATTGAGCTGAGCAGATTTCCCACAAGCTCCAGGCTTGTCTGTGTCTGGCTACACACTGAACCATCTGGGCTGCAAGTGTACACAGCAAGGAATCGGCAGCGTGCTCTTCAGGGGAGGATACCGAGGCTGTGGCTAGCTATTTCACATCCAGTTGTGGTTAGTTCAGGATGTGACCACTCCCTGAAAGGAGATTAGCACCCCATAGCTTAATTTCAGGGTAGAGTCTGTCAGGATGGCTTAAGACACAAATTTGAACTGAGCCTAATCTCCTTATTTTTTTAATTTTTGTAGGGTAAGAGTCCTGCATGAACTTCTCTGCCTTAATATTCTGTTGTAGGCTCCAGCATTGCTTGAGAGAGTTACATTGCCAAGGAACAAAATAAACCTATTCATGGCCATGTGAATGGACTCCTAGGGGAAGAAAAAAAGATTAAGAATCGATAATGATAGGTGGGAGAACAATGTGCTGGTAAGGGAAGAAGTGAATGTGCAACACCAGTCAGTGTTTTGATGGGAATTTGACATTGCAGTTTTTTTGAGAGGTTAAGAGCCAGCCAAAGAACTGATGGGTGATTGAAAGGTGTAAGCACAGAGCCTGAAGAGGGCCCCATATTCGCAGCAATACAGTTTGAAAGTCTCTATATTCTACCTTCCTTGTGTAGAGTCCTTCCAGCACCACCCCTCCCATCGAGATCTGCTCTTCACGCTTGACGAAGCTGATGCGCCGTACCACTGATAAAAAGAGCGAATTCCTGAAGGCACTGAAAGATGATAGGAATGGGGAGATAACAGAGAACAGAGAATGTGACAAGCTGGAGGATGTAAGCGCTGTCCTTACTGTATATATGATCATTATGTATGTATTTTTAGGAGTTGGGTACTGAAAAAAACAGAGCAGTGTATGTAATTCAGGTTCTGGAGGAGGAAAGGAATGACTTCCATTGGCCCACATGCCAGCAGAACTAGTGTGCAGCACTGTGATGAAGGGAGATACGTAACATGATGAAATGCAAATGGATAAGTAATAAATGAGGTGGAAGGGAAGGTCACAGATGGTGAAGGTAATCTAGATTTTTGCAAGGATTCTCTAAGGAGTGGAACAATAGCATATTTTAAGATCTTAATTTGCTTTCAAACTTCCTTGTCAAACTACATCCACAGGAAAGCAGAACTTGGCACTCGTGAAAGGTGTAGGATAGTGGCTCAAGCCTCACAGGCTTGGACCAGACCACTAAGTGCGTAAGTCTGTGGCTTAACGTGTATGTAAAGGGCGTCCTTAGGAGTATTTCATTCTCATAGTTTTCTTACTCTCACTCTGAAGCCACTGATGATGGTTTTGTAATGCCAGCACTTACTCCCTGGATGCAAAAGTGCAGTCCACCAAATGTCGTTTATATTGTGTTGTCTTGTCACAGCCAGGTAGAAGTTGCTTTCAACCATTATCAGTCCAGGCTCTGTAAAAAACACTGACTCAAGGTGAAAGGCTTTCCTTCCAAAAGCAGAAGCTTGAACTTGGAACTGTGCTATTGGCGGTCTGTGCAAGCACACTTCAATGCTTTTATTTTTCTTTAGATGGAGAGCAACAGCACACCAGAACCAAAGGAAAACTGGGAGGAGAACTGCCATCAGAATGGCCTTTCTCTCCCTTTGCCGGAGGAGGGGGAAAACCTCTCTCATTCATTGGAAGCAGAACACAGGTGAGTAAATGGCAAAATAAAGTGTCTGGAGTAAAGGAGGATGAGTCCTTGGACTGTGTGAGGAGAAGGAAACTATTTCAAAGACAACTCTCTTTCTGGGAAGCAGCAGTAGCTTTGTGTGTACTGAGCTAGAAGTGTGTGGGCTTCATGACTGGTGCTGGACTGGGTGGAGTCTTACTGAAAGTAAAACAAGACACTGATGACAGGTGAGCCAAGACGTTACCAAGGTCTGTAATTAAATTCCAGTGCTTCTCTAGTGCCACATCCCTGTGTGTTAATGCTGCCTAGATACTTGCCGGCCCACACTGGGAGTGAGTGCAAACCTAGTGTGATTCTGGTTAATTTACAAGCAGGTGTCCTAAATGGGTTGGTCTGAAGACTGAAGATGCACCCTCACACACACCACTTTCTGTCTGCACTTAGAATACTCCTGTGCTGCTTTAAATGCTGTAAAAGTGGAGGAGAGTTAAGAAAATATTTACCTAGTATTTCAGCTTGTATCTCGCTTCAGTGAGTAAGTAGTGTGTGAGCATCTGGTGTAAGCAGATAGTAAGTTTTAGGAGATTCTGAGCTGCGATACTGGTTTGATTGCCTCATGTCCTCCTTCACTGTGCTTGGGTAGAATTTCAAACCTCTGCCTTGCTTTCCCTCTGCCACACTAGTTATTTACCCATTGTACAGCACTGCTGATGATTACATATTTGTAAATGACGTTGAAAAATGTTGGGTAAACACGAAGCATTGTTGAAGTGATCTGCAATATAGAAGATTCCCTGGTGAATCGGGAGTGAATTAATACAAAATGTTGTGCTTCATGGACAAAATGTTCTCTCCTTTGCCATTGTTCCTTTGCTTTAATTCCCATGCCCCTTTTATTTTCTCCACAAATCAGGTTATTGAAAGAAATGGGATGGCAGGAATATCCTGAAAATGATGAGAACTACCTTCCCCTCACGGAGGATGAGCTCAAAGAGTTCCAAATTAAGTCAGAGCAGGTATGTTTACAGCTCTTGCTACTTATGATGGCTCTCCTCCCTCTGCCTTCTCACGCACAAGTCTTCTGTGGTTTAATTCTTAAGGATGTTCGAGAAGACAAAGAATTGAAGTGAGATTGTAGCGCAGCTTGATGATTCTGCATTATCCGTGCAGAGCATGTGTATACAGTTAAATATATAATTTGTGTTCACAGATGGTTGGCGACAGTTACTCTCCGCACTTTTGCTTGTTTTAAAACTTGCTTTCATTCCTACAGCGAAGAAGAAACGGATTTGGGAAGAATGGATTTCTTCAGGGCCGCGGCTCCAGCCTGTTGTTCCACTGGAGAAGCACTTTTAAGACAAAGATTGAGGACTCAGACACAGAAACTAGTAGCAGCGAAACGTCAGATGACGATGCCTGAGAGTGGGCACAAGAAAATTAAAATAAATAAAACCAACCCAATAAACTCAGTTCATAGTTCAACATGTGTTTGGGGTTGTATAAACTAAACAGAGTTTATTCTGTCTCCAGTCTGTTCAGTTTTTTCTTTTGTTGTTGATAACTTCATGCACAAGGGAAATAATTGTATCCCAAAGAAGAGAGAAATTGGCTTCTTTAGCTTTTTCTTTTGGTTTTGCCCTAATGCTTAATAGAAGTTTGTGCAGCTAGCAAATTTTGACAAAAAAATCCCTTGTGGGGCAGTGCACAAGTTCAGTCTTGTAAGCAGGATACAAGTGGCTGACTGATCTTTGCAACAACAAGCTTCTAACAGTGCCGCCTGCATTACATGATGTCGTGCGGTAACAGTGTGCTAAAACAATCATTGTCAATGACAAAATGGCTATTGAAGTTCTAATTATGTTAAATTAATGCTAATAACATGAATTTTTTATTTTATTTTATTTTTTTGGCGGCTCGGGGAGCTTCATCACTTAACCAGGCGTTTGTGGTTTTCTTTTTTTGGGTACAGCTGTAAAATATTTGGATATAGGAATTGTTTGTGTTCTTCTTCTTGCAGCCTTGATATTCAGGGTGGATTGTAAAATATAAATTTTTTGTGAGATTTCAAAGATTAAGATTATTTTGATAACATTATTTACAGATTTAAAAAAGTGACTATCACATTGAGTCTGTATGAGGGGGAAAAACTACTGCATCAAAAATAACTAACTTGGAATAAATATTTTGCATCAGTTTGCCAATTCTAATTGTCTTTCTTATGTAAGAAAAGCTTTCCTCTAAAGGGACCTGCAACTTTGGGGGTTTAATAGCACTGGGGATAAATAGTTTCTTCTCCCGCTGTATTTTTCCACTTGGCAAACATTGCTGTAGCGCTCAGACTGCAGGAGCTAAACTCTTCCTTTAAGAAGGGAGAAGGAGAACAATGGTGAGATGATAGCCCGTGTTTGTTGCTTCTTTTTTTTTTTTTTTAAAGAAACGAAAGAAAATAATTCAAATTATCTTCCACTAAAGCAGTTTGCTTTTTTTTCCGCTTCATACAAAATCGTGAAGCTCGACTGGTCGGTGTCACTTGTTCCTAGTGCAATGCTGCTGTTTATGTTCACAACGTGGCAAGGGAATGTCTGAATCCAAAGCTGTTTTCATTGAACTCTTTTTTAAAAATTCATGAAAACATTTCTATTAGATTAAAAAGGATTTTACAAACAACTTGGTTGTGGCCTAAGCTATTTCAGTGTCTGTTTTAAGTTCAGCTTGTACACAAATGTTTTGGATTGGAAAGTATTTGCATGGTTGTGCACTGTTTGCAAGTGGGTTGGATGGAATTGCACATTGAGTACGAAATCCTGGTCTCGCTGACCTGGGGGGATTTCACCCAAGGTCTTGCTTGGGTTTTTTTAATCCACTCCAGACCAGGCAGAGAGGACAGATGTGTAATAAAATTTTAACGTTTAGCCATGAATCTTTGCATCTGGACTCAAGGGAACACTCTCGGCAACACCAGGTGTAACTCTGCTACTTGTGCTGGTAGTTCCCACCGACGCTGGGACGCCGGTGCTGCTGTTGACCCCCTGGGTAAGAGGGGCGAGGGCTGTTTCTTCATCGCTGCCAGCTGAAAGCCAGGCTCAAGTTGCTGGGCCTTCCTGGGAATGCTCTGGGAAGCGCTCGGTCTCCTGTAAGACGTTTTGCAGATCGTCTAGTTCCTTTTGAAGGTCCTACCACTTTGGTCCTATCGAATGTGGCTTTTGTCTGGAAAAGTTTATGCATTTTTTTTTAAATTTAACATCCTACATCCATTTAAGTGAAAAATTCTGCAACTGTATTCGCGTTGTTGTCAAGAAATGGGGTAAGTTTAAAAAAAGTCCGTGCTGATAGCCACTTGTAATGGGATCCTAGGTTGCTAAAGAGTTCCTGCCTAGAGTGAGGAACCTGCCTGATGGGGGGACAGCACAGCACGACGTGGGCACCGAGAGCTCCTTCTGTTTCCTGCCAAACTGACTTCTGTGCCCTGACCCTCTGAGGAGATGTGCGTGGTTTAAACATCGATGAACCTGTGAAAGTGTTGCTGACAGGCTCTCCCAGAGACAAAGTGAGCAAATCCCCATAAATCAAACAGCAGGTTTTTCCTGAGCAAATCACTGATTATCTGTGACTGGTATCACCAGCGGTGAAGGGGGAGGGTGACCTACAGCACCCTGAGAAGAGCCTGCAGATGCTCAGCAAGCAGAGACGGGGGGCAAGGACCGAAAGAGGGGAGCTTATTTTGGGAACAAGGGTAGGGCCCTGGACACCTGTGGCAATGAAAAGGGGGCAGTGGGTAGAAGGAGCTGTTTCACCTCGCTGTGGAGGTTGCTCATTCACTTAAAGACGGCGGTGACCAGTCCCGAGCTGCTGCAAGGTGGAAAAGGGGCAGCCCCTGGGGCACCCCCGGGGCCGGGCAAGGCCGGCAGCGAGCGCTTTGTGACCACGAAAGGGGCAGCGC